CCACTTCATCCACTTTCCTTCAGTCTTGTTATTGATGATGAAGTAGTGAGGCGAACTCCGGAAGATCTCCAGAATCCCGGTATTCAAATCTCCGCGCGCGAACCTTGTCGAACTAGGATCTGCATGTTACGAATAGAGTATCGGTCCTGATTGAAGATCTCCAGCCGGTATTCAAATCTCCGCGCGCGAACCTTGTCGAACTAGGATCTGCATGTTACGAATAGAGTATCGGTCCTGATTGAGCGAGCGCACAAGAATGAATAGCGCTTTACTTGTCTAAGAATAAACGTACATAAGCTGAAAATGAAGGCAAAAGCGTGGTTAATACAACACGATAATGTGAGCACAAAGAATATTCATGACATTCACCCTGGCCGTTGGATTGTGTGTAGAGGGATAAATTGGGTACAGGTATTGGATGAATGATTGTAAAAATCTAATGAGTAATAGTGAGTGTGGTTAGGCTTCTCGATTTCTTAAAACGTAGGGCCGTGTACGCTGCTGGAGCCTGGCTAAATCAGAGATGCTAGGGTCATATGTATCTGGAGATGCAGGTGCATTGCCGGGGCACGGGGGTGAGACTGAAGTACGATCAATATCATCTCCAATGTTATTGAGCGGAGGCGTGTGCAAGTCAGATAGAGGGGGTGCATGAACACCATTGTCTTCATTGGGTGAGGTACGCGTGGGATCGTTGACATGTGTGTGATCACCACAAGGAGCGAGATGGCGGACGGATACAGTGCTTTCTTTCCCGCCGGGAAAACGAACACGGGCGTAATGTGGATTGCTATTTATTAATTGGACTTCCTCAACGACGGGCTCATACTTTGAGGCACGGTCAAATCTCCTCAGTAAAACAGGTCCTGGAACAGTGAGCCAAGTCGGTATAGATAAACCACAGGATGACCGGCGTTCAAACCGGAATATCCGTTCATGTGGAGTAACATTCGTGGAGACGCAGAGAAGGGACCGTATAGAGTGGAGGGCATCCGGTAGAGCCGACTCCCAGTGACAGATTTGGAGGCCTTTCGTCTTGAGTCTAAGCTGGATTGCGTTCCAGAGTGTTCCGTTGAGGCGTTCGACTTGCCCGTTCCCCTGGGGATTATAAGAAGTTGTTCGGCTGGTGCAAACTCCCCTGTCATGTAGGAATGTGGACAGTTCGTCAGATATGAATGACGAGCCACGATCCGAATGTACATATGCAGGCATGCCAAACAAAGAGAATAACTCACACAGACATTTAATAACTGTAGACGCACATGTATCTACGCAGGGAAAGGCAAACGGAAAACGAGAAAACTCGTCAACGATGGTAAGGAGATACCGGTTTCGAGTAACAGAAGGTAGAGGTCCTTTAAAATCGATGCTAATTCGTTCAAATGGTTGGGTCGCTTTGATGAGCGTAGCGGGGGGTGGTTTGTAAAACTGCGGTTTGATGGCGGCGCAAACCGTACACTTTGTGGTGATGTCCTTGACATCTTGGAGAGAGAACGGCAGGTTTTTGGAAAGAACAAAGTGGTGCATTCGAGTGATTCCAGGATGGCACAAGGAATCGTGAATTTCTTTTAATTTATCATTGCCGATCACATTGGCGCATAGGTTACGCGATAAGGTGTCAGCAACCAGATTGTCTTTTCCAGGTCTGTAGCTCACATCGTAGCTAAAAGCGGAAAGTTCCATTTTCCATCGCTGAATTTTATCATTTTTTATCTTACTTTTCTGCGACGAACCATACATAAAGGAAACTGACCGCTGGTCAGTGATAAGCTTGAAGTGCTTCCCGAAGAGATAATGCTTCCATTTACGGATAGATTCAACGATGGCGTATGCCTCCTTCTCAATAGCAGAGTGATTCTTTTCGCTCGGTGTCAGTGTTCTAGAAAAGAAGGCCACCGGTTGGCCGTTCTGAGTCAGAGATGCAGCAATGGCTATGTCTGAGGCGTCAGTCTCGACAACCAATGGTGCGTTGTAGTCGACTGTCACAACCATGGCGTTCTCTAACTCCTTCTTTAAATTTTTGAAAGACTGTTGCACACGCTCCGGTAAGGGGAAAGTCTTATTTCTGACAAGCACACTGATTTTGTCAGAGAAGCATGGTATCCATTGCGAATAATAAGCAAACATACCAACAACACGTTGTTGGGATTTAGCGTCATGTGGATGAGGGAGTTCACGAATAGGTTTCATTCGTTCAGGATCTGGTTTGATAATTCCTTTAGAGACTTCGTAGCCCAGAAGGCGTATTTGTTTGGCTGCTATGATGCTTTTCTTACAGTTAAGGGTAATTCCATATTTTCTTATTACTTCAAAGAAAGATTTGAGGTTCTGGTCATGCTCACTTTGGGTAGTCCCACAAATAGTGACGTTGTCGATGTAAGCGTAGGTGCTACTTAGGTTCTCAGACTTGATTATTTGGTCAATAGTACGTTGAAAACATGCTACTCCGTTGGTTACACCGAAAGGAATACGACGGAACTGAAACAGCTCTCCGCATGCTTCAAAAGCCGTATACGGTTTATCTTGCTCACTGATTGGAACTTGATGGTAAGCACTCAATAGGTCTAAGGTGCTAAAGACAGTATGACGGGAAATTTCTTCGATCATTTTATCCAGTCGCGGTAACGGATACGCGTCTAGGTATGTGAACCGATTAATGGTTTGACTGTAGTCCACTACCATGCGTCTTTTGTGGTTTGAATTTTTCGTGACCAGTACTTGAGCCCTCCATGGAGAACTCGAAGGTTCGATTATACCTTCATCCAATAGTCGATTAACTTCACAGCGGATAAATTGTTCATCGTCCGGATTATAACGTCGCGATTTTGTAGCAACAGGCTTGCAGTCGGGTGAGAGGTTAGCAAAAAGAGGAGGTGACTCGACCGCAGCAGCAGGTAGACCGCAGAGGGTGAATGGACCTCGGTCCCCACCGAATGTGATTTCAACTTTGTTATGTAGACCAAGGAAGTCATGGCCTAGCAGCAGGTCAGCACATAGATTGGGTAATACCAATAGTTTGATCTTTTTGTAAACGGTGCCCCTGTAATCGATGGATGCGTAGCAGTAGCCTCTAGTTGAACACGTCAGAGAGGTAGATGCCATGGTAATCACAGAATTGTTAGCATATACCTTCCAGCCATGTTTACCAACCACCAAAGGAGATATGTAACTGCTCGAACTTCCTGTGTCTATGAGGGCCTGAAGCGATATCCCGTTCACCTTTATGCTGGTCACCGTGCGAGACAAGCAGTTCGGGGCCGCAGCAGTCAACAGGGAAGATAAGGCCGAATCCGTTGTGCAATTTGAGTGACACTTTACAGATTTGGATCGACAAACACGCTGAAAATGGCCTGTTTTGCCACATGATTTACAAACTGCTTCTCTTGCGGGGCACTTTGACCGTGGATGTCTGGAACGACCACAAAAGTAACATATCTGAGAACTGATTGACGAGAGATAGGGTGTAGAATCAGGGGAGTTTGAGTGTGAAGGGATAACTGTAGATGTCTGTAAAGGTGCTGCAGCCGCAGAAAATGATATCGCCTGGTTATGTGAGTATGACTGAGCTTGTTTGTGGGCCAATTCTAATGACCTGGCCAATTCATGAGCTTCATCGAGAGTGAGTTCGTTTTGAGCTAGAAGTCGTTCTCTGATGGTACTAGACTGAAGTCCGTTGATTAGAGCATCGCGTACACTTTCGTTTTGATGGTCAACGGCGGACACCGCCTTGAAATCACAATTTTTGGCCAAGGATTTAAGCCTCTGAACAAACTGATCAACATCTTGACTGGTGTCTTGTTTGCAAGTTTGTAGAAGATGGCGAGCATAAATTATATTCTTTGGACGAAAGTACAACTTTTCAAGTGCACTGATAGCTGATTCGTAATCTGGACAGTCAGCGATATAAACGTATACAGGTGCATCCACAAAATGGATGAGAGTTTCGAGTTTATTTAGATTGGGCGATTCGACAGTGCCCAGAAACGTTTGGAAGGTTCGGAACCAATGATTCCAACGCGTTGTTGCGTCTGGAGAATTAGGATCTGCGTCGAAACACTTGGGTCGCAGCAACGGTTCCATTGTATCCTTAGACAAGGAAATTGTTACGAATAGAGTATCGGTTCTGATTGAGCGCGAGAACAAGAATGAATAGCGTAGAATGAATAGCGCTTTACTTGTCTAAGAATAGACGTACATAAGCTGAAAATGAAGGCAAAAGCGTGGTTAATACAACACGATAATGTGAGCACAAAGAATATTCATGACACTGCAGGTGACATTTTTCTCATTTTTGAAGAAGAGCAGGAAGCAGAGGCATTATTAGGAAAGCTGACCAAGGTCATCCAGTGGTTTTGCCTGTGCTTCTTGCTCATAAATTACACAGCCATGATGTGGGGCGTAGTCTGCTTGACTATGCCTCGAAAAATTCAGATTGACACTGGAGGATGTTGAGCATTGTACGGATCAGGGGAGTTAAACTAACGGTGGTGTGACAGACGAAGTCAGCGCACGAATCTCGAAGACTAGACTTACGTTTGCTAGTTTGCGCCATTTATGGCATCATAGAGACATCACTGAGCTCCGAAGAATGTGGTCGTTTTTGAGGGGGACAATTAATGTAGTGCTATTAAAATGGGAGTCATGCTTAAGGAAAAAGGTTTGGCCCTAACGTGGTCAGTTGGATGCTCACTTGGTGTCGAAATATTATAAAACCTACTGTACGAGCTTTAATGCTTGTCTTTGTTGGGGCTGGGGTGAGTGTGGAATTCGTGTCAGGTGATCGCTCTTGAAAACTGAGGAAAGTATTAGGATCTAAACGCGTACGACAGTGCATGACTCGAGAACGAGCGCACAAATCCTCAGCTATGACACGAACCCAACCATTCCTAGGGCAGAGGGAAGAAGCCCGGACCTTCGGAAGAGAGCCTTTACCGCCTAAACTAAAGGCAAAGTAAAGCAGGAGCATCATCGAGTGTATACATTTTGAACGTCCTTGGGGAATGGTAAATTCGTTAGCACTAACAAATTGCAACTGGTCAATACGAGTGAAGCACAATCCTTTTGGAAAAATGTGCAACACGACCGAAATGGCACGAAAATTCAAAATATTGGAAAATAACGTTAGCAATAGCTCGAAGAGTAAGCGGTTTTCGGACATATTGATATTCCAACAGAAAGGTATCAAGTTCAAGCCGAATGTCCTGGGGCCTCGCGTACTTCGTTTTAGCTGATGGTTGGGAGAGGTTTCGTGAATCTGTTGTCTTTCATTCGTGATCTTTTCACGCTGATCTGTTGTCAGTCATCGCTTCCAGCATATGACCGTCTTTATTCCCTGATAATCGCCAAACAATACACAGAAGCTGGAATCTCAGGTGTTACGGAACTAGATGACCACACATGGGGTCTGTGTGACCGATATCTCAGCTGTACTTTTCCACTGGCACTTCACTTTTGTAGTAGGGTGAAACTTTTAAAATGGCACGAAAGATAACCTATGTCGAAGATTTGTTTCCGTTCCTTTCACCGTAAGCAATTATCAATATGTTACTTAGATGTCTAACCCTTTCATATTTTTTTCAGTGACTTGGACTCACAGTCATAAAAGTGATTTGCACCCATTGGAGGCACTTAAGATACTTAATCAACCTGGGTCTTTGCAGCTTAATCGCTCCAGTCGGCCTTTTCAGGAGCATTTATAGGTTTTGAAGTTACCACCAACCTTGGATTATCGCGGTGCCGATGACCAAACGACCCAGAAGCGAGCAACGTTACGATCGGCAGCTGAGGTGCCAGCGCCTTTTATAAGTCTATTCTATCGTTTCAGGCTTTGGGGAGACCATGGCCAACTTGCTATTGAGTCATCGAAAGTGTGTTTGATACGAGCAAGCGCGGTTGGATGTGAAATCTTAAAAAACCTAGTTTTGCCTGGTAGGTTCGGAATCAAACTCTTACTTCTCTTGCAGGTATAGGCTCGTTCACTATTGTCGATGATGCTCCTGTGACGGAGACCGATTTGGGCTCCAAGTAAGTTAGAGTTTGTCAAATCTCATGCTTGCAGTTTTTTCTTGTCTGAAAATGATCTCCACAAGGTAAATCCCGAATTGTGACTAATTTTTTTCAGCCACGCGCCCAAGTTGTCACTCAGTGTTTGCTGGAATTAAATGAGGCTGTGCAAGGCAGCTACGTTGTTGAAGTAAATCGCATTCCACTATTCTCGTTCATAAATTCCAGAAATTTTCTGCTTTGTTATCGAATGATCCGCAATTTTTTCTTGGCTTCAACGTTATTATTGTTACCGATGCACGTGAGGGGTAAGTCAGACCGTAAGTTACGGCTCCATATATGGAGCGTTCTTTGGGGCGTTGCTTGATGGATGGTATCCGCATACCAAGGAATTATGCGAGACACTGTACCTCCCTACACTCCCTGTGTCCAGCATAGATTGGAATTTTTCGACAGAGTACTGCGAAGGTCTCACTGAAGCCCTAGGGCTTGCGCGCAAGCCTATCAATTACAACAAATACGTGCGGCGCAGAAAAATGGAGCCTTACGATGTGTGATATGCTCGAGGTCATTCTATGTGTAGTGGCCTTCCTGGACACGGTTTTTTTTGCGTCACAGATGGACGTACCAATTATAATCCGTTGGCTATATATATCACCGTATCATATATATATATATATATACATATATATATATATATATATATATATATAATGTGGATTGGCTAGTCTGAGAGCATGAGGCTTGTGTTGTATACCACCCGTCTTGTAGCAGCACTTAAAAGTTTGCGGGTGTTAAGCGCACACCAAACCCTGCGGTTACTTTAAAAGTATTGAACCCTTGAAGGACCTCCAGACACTGGTTCACGTCATCTGGATAGAAACTGACAATATGAACGCCGTTGACGTCGAATGGCGAACTTATCTTGCAGCATCTCCAATCATGCATAGCGGGTATCACGCTGCCCCATCCTGGAAGGTGAGTTGCGCCAACAGCATCCAGACCTTTCGTAATCTTTTTCATGACAATTCAGCGGCTGGCCACCTCTCTGCTTCTGTCACTCTGAATTGGGTACGGAAAACAGTACTCTCTTCGGCAAACAGTGGCTCGGTATGCGTGATACATGGCCTAACCAAACGCATCTTCTAGTGCTGGACACGCTTCGATCAAAGTCCTTGTTGCCCAATCGGACACTCGCTTTCTAGTTGCCTCGTTGCGGCTTCGGTGACACTGACTCACACAATCTGCCGTTCTGGGACAATGGTTGTCGAAGACCTGAAAAAGTCTCAGTTTCGGTGCTCAAGCATGTCACGTCCCACAGCCATACAACAAAACGGCGCGCATTATATGTGCCACTTTGTCGACATTGGCGTCTGAAATTAGCTAACGCTATCCATGCCATAGAGATTCGTTCACTGGCCTCATCTGTCACACTACACTCAGAATGGTCACAACTTCCAAGATGCATAAAACGTTTCACAACTTCGAGTGTATTGTAGAATGTAAGTGGGTTGTTCAGTGACTAGATGACTGATGGTCGGTTCATCCGAAACACTCTCGAAGACTGGAACAATGTCGTCTGCATACTTCGGATCGAATGCATTCTTCTCGAACGCCACTTTGTATACAGAATCTTTTAGAGAGATTTCTGTATCATTAACCTCCCGGGAAGTCTGAGAATACAAACAGCTTGTCTTCGCAAACTTCCGCGGATTCTTTTTTGAGCAAGCGTGTCAAGGAGAGTAAACCGGTCAGCTGAGTCGAACGCGCGTTGGAAATCCAAGGATACAAAAACCATGGGTTATTTATACTCATAATGTTTTTCTAGAACCTTACAGAGTGTGGAGTTCCAGTCAACACAACCCTTACCAGACCGAGATCCTGTTTTTTTGCTATTCACTAGGTGCGGGGAATGGTTGTTCATCCGCTTGATACTGTTACAGACTGTCTTGAATGACACCGTATTCATTGATTCGACTGACAGCCCAATGGAATTCAGCATCGTGGCAATGAGAACCTGTGGTCTCAATTTTCATACAATGGGTTCGCCTGTTCTTACAACTGAATGGTATGCCATTGCCCTTCTCTGTGATAATAGAACGCTTATTTCGTTTGCAACATGAGGTCGGTCCTATTATCTTCTATGGAAACGTAAATCTGCCACCTTTACACCTTGTTCTGCCATCCTAATGAGGACAGAGATTGCATCATACGTGATTTCCACTGCACATGCATTCGTTCGGTCTGCGTCGTTGTACCACAAGTAGCAATTACTCGACCACTTGAAGCAGAGGTGGTGATTGTCAGATCGTGAGACTCTATCGGGTAGCACAAATATGATTCTAAAATCTGCAGCAGTCCTAGGTCAACTGCAATGTTGTCAGTCACGCTGCATCAAGTGACTCTGACTTGCAGACAGTGGGGCGAGCAAACGATGTATACGTTACCGTGTCAGTCTCCTGCATGCCAACTCGCGACTTGCGCTTCACATCTCCAAATTGTAAGGTGCTGCTACAAGATTGAGTTAGTTCGAACCCTAACCTCGTGCCTCCGGATGAGCCGATTGAGGTAGTAAACAGCTGTATTAGTCCCGTTGGTCTCACGAAAGATGATATTCCCGTCGGATTGGGAAGGCCAGGGGAGCTTTTATGAACATTCATCACCTGGAGTGTAGGTGTAGCTTATCCATCGAAGCTCGAGTTTACGATGCAGCGGTGTGCATTGTGACCTAGCCGCTGCACCCTGGTACGTAAAATACTTTCAGTAATTGAACATTAATGTCTTCGGAGCATTTTACTAGTCTGGTGGGAACACCGGATCAGTAATGCTGAAGTACGTGGAATTAATGGAGAACTGACTCACCCAGGCTAAATGAACTGATCACACTCCATATGTTGCGCTGAATTGGTCACGTGCTCCGTATGCCAACCATGCAATGGCTGGTAACTAGCTAGGGGAGGTCATCAATGACTTAGCAGTGACGCATGAAAACCATTACCAGCAAGCTCAGCTGCGCTGGTCATTGCCGTCCCCATGGATGGTAACCCGAGACAGGATACATCAATATATTGTCAGACATGGCCCAGTCGCACGCTGAATGGAGCTCATACACTCAAGCTTCTGTGCTTAGCTTCACCTTCAGACCTCCTGGACGAAAACTCCACTGACACTCCTGCATTGACGCATCAATTATGTCAGCTACCGCTTCCAATGCATGGCTGTCTACCCCCGCATCCCCAAACCACTAGTGATAGGAAATATAGCACCCATAACCACCGTACAGCAAATACGCGATTTCTACAGCTGACGACTAATTGAAATGAATACGAAAACTGAAGAAAGACAGCTCGTCTTGCCAGTCGTCCAAGCAGTAGACATGCATTTCGGGGGAATGAAACTTTCCGTTGCTGAGACCTGTGTATCTCCCCTATTCATTGACTTAGTTGTCCCACTGGAGAAAACGTTCCCTGGTGAGTTTTCAGCACTTTGTGAGAACTTTACTCTTTTCTGTTTGAACTTTATCGGGCTATTTTGCTTCATTGCTTACTGGAAACAATATTACGTGTTGGAAGACTCCAATTACTCCAGTTGCCTCTTCGAAATAATTTGACAGTGGCCGTAGTAACAATTGTTTAGCACCATGAAAGTATATAATTGCTAGTAGTTTTCTACCATTTCCGCTTAGTGGCGGTTAGCGCTTTCATGTCATCTACTGATCACCATACTTCGTTTCCGGTCTGATTGGGGCTGTCTGGTGTGGCAATCATCCTGTCGGTAACCAAAGACTGCGTATCTAGCGAATTTTAGATTTGTTTTCGGGCGTGCAATCGGCCCATTGTTTAGCGCACTCTCGTCTGCCTCATTATTGATCTGATGAGGTCGGCTTGATATAAACCAGCTGGAGGAGACAGCGCCGACCGTAAACGGAGAACTGATACACTGATATGTATGTTATAAAGAAGAACCAACTAAACTTAAACGCTATAGACTTTATCTTTGGTAGACATATATGGTAGAGGAGGTGCAGAAAACGGAGAATGCGCTCTGCTTAACCTTCAGACTTCGTCAGAACGTAATGATACGTTAAGTTCTGACGAAGGGAAGTTTTTCGGCAGTCTGGCAGATCATCTGCGGTGCAGGGAGTCAGGTTATCGCTACTTGCTCACCTAGTCTCGTAGCATGACTTTGTAGTTCGGAGGTGCAGAGAACAGTCTGTAAAACCTTGCACTTCTTTCTAGAAGATTTAAGGATATATGATTTCAAAAGGTTGAAGAACTGAGATGGGCAATGTTTTCTGGGTACTTAATGTTGGTCAGCATGCTGCCCTGTGTTAACTTTGCTCCCACGGATTTGGGAACTTTGAATGATGACGACCAGTCACGAAGTTGAGAAAGATCTCATACACTTGGGGGACGCCAACGGGACACCTCGTTGTAGAGCAAAGGGTCCCCCAGGAACTTCTGATTGACTGAATCGACGACAACTTTCATATCCATATATGCTGAAATCCTCATCTGCTGGTAAACGTGATCAATATCCAGCATCCGTCACAGCATGAAACTGTGCCAGGTACGGGCGCGCCCACAGCAGAGGCTGCATGTTCTACTCTAGTGGTGGTTTCTTTTATTGATTACGCGTAATAAGACCCATCAGAAATCCAGACGTGATTGCAACTGAGGCAATGAATTTAGTTATCACGAGATGATATAGAGCTTTTCCTACAAACGGGTAGGTATACACCAGTCATGCAGTACCTTTTCGGTTTCTTACATCCTTTGAAGCAGGCCTGTTAAGACATAAGTCCAGATTTCGTCCCCGTGGTAACAAAAGGAAGAGTAAAAGAAGTCAGAGTCAGGGTCCGAAGCTTTGTTCTGTTTGATTATTTCCAGTTACAGAGGCGGGCTGCTCGCGTGGTATTACATTTAGCAATTGAGGTGCGTAAGCTAAGGTCTAGTTGTGTTCAAATGGGCTGTTCTGAAGTTTCCACCTATCTAAAAACTACGGGACAAACTGTGCATTGGGGCAGCATCTTCCCCGCATATTAGTTCACCAGCATTGAGTTTCGTACCAGAGCTAATACGAACTCGGGAAAAGAGAGTACGGTTATCCCAAGTTTATGAAACCCTCTCTGTTCCCTCTGAAAACGTTTTTTCGGTCTCTTGGACTGCTTTTCAGTCCACACTTCAACTTTTTGCATGCTGAATCAAGGGGAACGGATCGGTGCTCTTCTGGCGGGGATGACGGTTTTTCGTGGGCTCCAGGTAGCTCAGTGGTTAAGCCGCGAACTTACCGACCGAATGGTTCGTGGTTCGAACCCAACCCGGGCATCTGGCCTGCTTGTGTCTAGGCTTGGACAAGCTGGCAGTATCCCAGCTCTCCTGTTTTCTTTGGACAGTGCGACAGCTAGACACAAAAAGGATGTTATAGCTGAACGATTGATTGTTTGATTTGTTTTCCGCATCATTCAATACCTTATAGTTTCGGAATTAGCAATGTTCCTCCACATCCGACTTTTGCTGTGGGACCGAGAGGTGTAAAGTAATTGGCTTTGGTTATCAGCTTGCCGGTCGGATGAAAGCTTAGCCTGCGGTTATTGTGAATGAATTTTCCATCAGCAAAGAACACTTGGAAGCGATCTCGAGCCCCAGCATGATGTGAATTTAGATGGTTGCCCCAGAACAATCTCCCGCGCTTTGTCGCCATCTGTAGCTAATTGTAACATGGTCTGTTTGTGCTTATGTTTCATTTTTTCCTCTCGTCGCCATTCAAAACAATTGTGACTTCGCGTTTCCTAATATACTTGCACAAATTCGTTTGGACCTCCTTTTTGCAGTTTATTAATACGTCTCAGTAGAATTCTACAAGACACTTCGATCCCATTAGTGATCTGTTTCACCGTCGGGTTTATCGGCTATCTACGTGTCTCCGCTACAGAGCATGTGATTATCGAGTCCCATCCAGATGCCACCCGTCCAGATCTCAGACTAGATCGACCACTTCCAGGCCTTGTCGAGATGGCCAACGAAGTGATCCTTGAGAAAATGACTTCCGAGCAGCTGGCTCACACACCTTGGTTAATTATTGTATATATTTTCCTGCAAAAATTCGTACAACAGGTGAGTGTACAAACTCCCGTTTTTATTTATTATATAGACTAGTTGATGTAATTACATTCTCCACTGGTCATAATCGTTTTTTTTCGCACAGCACAATCACTTCCCGCAGAACCACGAAGAAAAGTCTATTTTGCGAAAAATGATCATGAAAGGTCAGTTTTCTTACTTTTCAATGGGAAGTTTTAAACCCATACAGTGAATGTTGTCTTTTCTGAAAGACTTAATACTGAGTGTTTTTGCACACAAAAATAAAACGACTTGGAGGAGTAGAACCTAAAGTTGAAACACTCGTTGCACAATATAGAGGTAAATAACAGGTCTTCAGTTTATCTCACGTGAATCCCATTAGGCCAATTGCCTGATGGCAGTATCTCTCAAACCTCGTGTAACTGACCTTCTATCCTAGGAAGAGGGGGAAAGTGTAGCAAAGGTTATCATTCATAAATGCTGTTATTCCATTCCTGAGTGACCACATGTATTTAATAGCTAAATGAAGCGCACAGACTTCTAAGAATGAGATCGACGATCAATTTCAAGTCCTTGTGTCCAATCCTAGCTCTTCATTCTATATGTCTTATGTTTATTGTGAATGTGTTGCCTTTTCCGTCAGACTAATCCTTCTCAGTGAATTTTTTCCATAAGAGACCGTAACACATAAATCAAGTGTATGTATTACGTAATCCTACTTTAGACGTGGGGTTGAAAGAGTTTGCATGGCATCACCATTGCAGGATCTTTCCAAAGTGAACACAGGGTGAATCGTTCCCCGGTCCAGCAGTGTTTCTGTGCCACAGTCGGTAAATGGTTAGATGAATATTGCATCTGAAACAATCCCGCCCTTAATGAAATCGGTTGTCCTCGGTCGTGAGTTTGTTTTATGGGAGGGCTAGTCATCTATCAAATACATCCGTCGAGGAATCAGCGCGGAGTAGCATCTTTATCGTTTTAAGATCCTGTGATCTCAATATCTGTTTACCGCGCCTTATCTCTGACGTTAGTTTTCATATGACCTACTGACCGATCTCCGTCTTTATGGTCGAGAGTTGTTTTCGCCTGTAAATGCAAGTTCCGCTGTTTTGTGCATCCCCGGACTTGTTCCCCGTTTCATTTATTTCGGTTTTCTGATCGAAGGTGGCACCGAATTGCTCAAGGCGCTCAGGATGCGGGAACCGAACCTTGAACCTTCCTACACACTGGAGAATTTTCAAGAGGCCGGAAAAGCGGTTAACACCGCTGTCTGTCCCACGGAAGTAAGCCTGGTCTTCTACGCTTTCCTCTCTGTTAATTACCAGGTTTTTGGCGAAACTCTACTAAACCACATTCCTTTGGCCCAAGTGGTTAGAGCGCGAATTTACTGACCGGAAGGTCCGCAGTTCAAACCCGACCTCTGGCTCTCGACTTCCCCTGTCTAGGCTTGGGCAACCTGGCAGTATCCCAGCCCTCGTGCTTCCTTCGGGTGGCATGGCAGCTAGGCACCGGAAGGGTGCTACAGCTGAACGCTTTCTGTTTGATGGTTTTGAGGCATGATTCCTGTGTGCTCAGCTCGAGACAGCCCCCGTTTAGGGTGTCGGCATCTGGAGTGGAAGTTCTTGTTCCGACCGCGCCTCCGAGCATCTTGGTTGTTCCTGTTTAAAGTATAACAACTTGACAGTATATCAGCCCTCTTAACTTTTTGTTTGCATGTTTTTCGATCGAAAGACTAATCGAACGGCGAAGGCTGTCCACCGATGACTGAAGGTGGCTATATACCATCGAAACCCAGAGTGCACCTGCATAGTCATACTTAAGAATTATTAATAAAATAGTAACTATCGTTCATCTGCTCGCCCTTTCGATGTCTAGCTGCCACTCTGGCCGAAAGAAACACGAGGGTTGAGGTACTATCAGGTTGCCCAAGCCTAGACAGGTGCAGTCAGGATGCTGGAGTTAAGTTCGAACCACGGACCTTCTCGTCAGTGGTTCGTGCCTTGACCACCGAGCTCTCTCGACATGGAAATTAGGACCGCCAATAATGAATTCGATTTACCAGAACCGGTGCATTGGCTTGGTTACGTGTGTCCATACTTCTGGTGTATTGCACTGATCATGTTTCATAGAACAGGGGACTGGAAATATCTGGTGCTAACTAATGGTGCCAACCTCCAATGCATATTCACCGATTTGGAAAAGACTAAACGATCCGGACCTGAGACAAGAGAAAGCCTATTTTAATCAAAGCACAGTTGGATAAAACACTCGTTTGCATTGCCGAGAGCTCAGTTATGTCATTAAAAGGAATACGAGCTTGTATTTCCAGAGGTTGCTTGTGTCGCCCGCGTCAATGAATTCCACATAGTACCGCTGAGTAAAACAACCGCTGGTTTAGACCAAAAGTTGCGACCTTGTCGTGTTGATAGGGTATGAACTCTCTAACGATTCTGCGGGTCCAATTGGCTGGGGCTTCGTCCCACAAGAGGCAACCGTGCCAGGAAGGACAACCGTGAGCAGTCAAACAAAGAGCAACGAGTCCCCGTATTATGATTAATCGTAATGGGACCCCCTGCAACCATGTGGGATAGATTATTGAGTCTGGCTCCGGTTAGGGTCTGTCTTATGGTAGAGACCCGCTTGCTTCTCAGAGGGATTCTCGTCCGGTCAGGTGTCGGGCGCGGACTACTTAGGGGAGGCCAGTGAATGACGTGTCAACAAAGCTTGGGAAATCTTACCGACCAACTTAGTTGCTCAGGAAGCTACCGCCTCCCCCGGATGAGGACTTCAGGAAGAGACAAACCAATGGTTTGTAGGCCTCATCAGGCAGCCAGTGGAAGCCCTGCGCCTTAATGCCTTCATCGCGTAGCTCTATCATTTCTTGTCTTATCAGGCAAACGGGACAACTTAACTTTGATGAGCTTATTGGACCATTACTTCCAACGCTTTGCTGTCATTCCTCATTCGCGATGGACAAAACTGTAGCAACTGGAACCATTGTGGCTCGGTACAGAGTTCATAGCTGAACAAATGAACCGAAGTGAACATGTGATACTCGGATGTAGACGTTGATTTTAGAAACTCCCTGAACTAGCAATGTTGGCAGATCTCTTATCCTGATAAGTTCTCTAGTGTGCGAATCTCCCTTGTTCGTGTCTTCAACTCTGTAAATGCGAACTGCCGTCCGATCTTTAGGTGTCTGTCATTTTAGCCAGTGCAGTTATGAATGGATCTTTCTATCAACGATAATTGGCAGTTTCAATGAATGTTGGGGTCACCTGTTTTTGGTACACTCCTAATCCACATTCACATTACTCTCGCTTAAACAATCCTTCTCCTGTCCTGGCGCAATTATTCTGGTGAGTCAAGAACAAAGTGAGAAAACACTTGACTCGAGTTCTGCTCTTATTAGAACTCATCAGCGATGCGTACCCTCGGTCGTGCAGGGGCGTGAACTCCGGACATGTGACGCGAGCCTCCCCTACTTCTACTACTACACGATCAGCGCTGGATGCACCTGAATGATCACGTCTGGACAGGCGAACTGCTCAAACTTGAGGAATTTGACTGGTTTTGCCGGATGCCTCGGGAAACGCTAACCGGAATTAGTCGTTTTGGTTGACTCCAAATCGATCCAACTTTAGGCGGTCAAAACGAGACGACGTTTGTTGAACAAGATCTGCGACTTACTGAACCTCTTCCACAGTCTTCCCACTGTCACTTCGGGAATTGCGCCACATCTTCGTCAACTTTTATTTCTATGAAATTATTAACTAGAGTCGCTGCTATTACTCTTTTCTGCAGATCCCAGCCGAAGTACGTGAATTACTAGAGGACGAACGCTGTACAGAAGGTGCTGTGATATCTCACAGTTTGGATGGCACGAATAGTTTGGTATGTGACTCGCGTTCGGAAAAATGTAGTTATCTTTCCATTTATACCATGATTGTCTGCACACATCCGCTTAGAAGGAAATTTCGGCAGGTTAGGTTGTGTACTTGATGACTGAATTGTTCTGTGAGTCCGGGATTTTTAGTTCAAACATTATCACCAATCCGGGCAAAATCCTGAGTGTGGAGTAAGGTTATGATGCTTCGGGAAGCCAGCAGATCGCCTGGTCCCAACCCTTCACTTCGATTAGTGGCGTTTGTCAAGCTCAGCGAGCAATCCTTCGATCTCCTCATCTCTTAGTGTGATTATTCTAGTTTGTCTACACACGACGTTTAGTCGTTCTCCCTTGTGCTGATCTATAACTGTCGCTAACATGCCTTCGTGGCGTAACTTCCCAATGATGTTTGGTCGAGACATTTCGGTGTTTGCTTTCCCAGATATAAAAACCCGATGCATATTGGCACGAGTACGCAGTCAGTCCACTCCACTGACGCCCTAAGGGATATCAGACTTGAGTGTTACTTCTTCATAGGGGCAACCATTCACGAGCATTCACCGCGTTTCTAACTTTGAGGCTCTGCCTATTTGATGCGATCCAAAATCAACTAAAGCTATAAAACTTTTGGTTTCTCACTACCATGACGCTATGCAAATCGAAAAAAAACACTCACGATCGCTAAATAAGTGCCTGCCAATTAAAAATATCAGTACAAGACTGTTCATGTTCTTCCCTTGGTTAAACAGTCCATTGAGTGTTCCTCCCCGTTGTTCAAGGAGTAGCATTTCTTTTTTCTGTTGGGCGGTCATTTCATTGTTCCTTGCTATCTTCCTTGTTTTGATCTAATAATAACTTATTCTTCCACAGTTTTTTTGCTGCGCTAAAATGCACAATACTGAATACAAGTAATTTTCTAGGAGAACCGTTAGTGCCATCGTCCTAGTGTCGTATCACAAGTCGATGAGATGGTGCACTGTGATTAATCACAAACTGACTACTTGCTTTTTTACTCAGTTCGTCCAATTTTGCCGTACCTAGCCTTATCGTATTGGGCCCAGGGTCACGGATGGAATAATCACCCATTCTTACGGCGCGGCTTTATATCCACCTATGGAGCTAGTGTTTCCTGCCGGTTTACTGGTGGAATTTGCACGTACGACAGATCCAAACTTCAGGAAAATGCTTCTCGAATGGGGATTTCTTACAAATAGCAAATGCTGCACTGGAAATCACCAAAATCGTTTTATTCCTATAGGTATTTCCTAGAAAGTAGTGTCCTATAAAGACGACGTACTTTAAGGAAACCGCCTTATTGAATTGCTTGGGCGATTTCTGCTGTTCCCTATGGTCATCATCCTTATGGATCCCCGGTAAGGTACCTCATGTGTACGTCGCCTTTCCGGAATTTCCTGTGTGGTTTTCAGTAAGGGCTTAATTGATGTTCCCGCGACCTGGACCGTCCACCATTTCACTACAGCATGGTTTTTCGAACACCCCTGTACACTGGATTAAATTTTCCGTTGAAACTGGACTGACGAGATGTGCTCCGAATCAACACATTCCCTCAGTTTCATCTCCTCAGGACAATAGATGATTAAAAATCCTTGTGGGACATTGTGCGGGAATCGGTATTTGGTTTCGTGCATCTCCTCTGCACCGTCTGGTGCTCCCATCATTGATCACTGAGCTAATGGTAATAAGATCAAGTTCGTTATTTAGGTGATCAGCTGAGCAGAGGATGACGTAATGCATTCGTATCAACTTCTTTCTGATCAATTTCGTTTCATAGGTATCCGTGCCTCCTCAGGCACAGCCTAACACATACCTCCATCCAGACCAAATTCGTTCCGGTGCTCCATCTTCTGTGGGGATCGCAGTCCCCTCACCCACAACATTTTGGCGTTTGGTGTGCGCCTTACGTGATTTTGTCCAAAATGAAGGCGAAGGTCAATTGCCAGTTCGTGGGAGCATTCCAGATATGTTATCAGATTCCAAGAGATATCTCAGACTCTTGTCAATCTACCAAGAACGTATGGAGTGGGCGGTACAACGTTTTGCTGCACGATTGACACAGGTTTGTTGATATATTACGTTCTGGTTCATCCGTTGAGTTGTTGGACAGACAGTCATTGTTATACTTTTCAGTAGAATCGACCGCTTACATTTAGTCCGTCCCAGGACAGCTTGAGATAGCTGTGGGTAAGGCGCGAACTTACTAACTAGGAGATCCATGGTCCCACCTCAACTTCGGGATCTCAACTGTTCCTGTGTAGGCTTGGGCAACGTGACAGTATCTCATTCCTAGTGTTTCCTTCGGGTGGCTTGGTAGCTATTCGCCGAAAGGGTATCAAAGCTAAGCGATATTACTGTTAGTGTTATTACTGGACAGCTGTCAGCGTCGTCATAATTTCATGAATACTGTATGAGTTCAAACAACCGAGAGTTTTTTAGGAATTGTTTTAAGGTATTGTTGTCACAATCAGTCCATGCAAACACGTGTTAGAGCAGCAGTATACGTGTAGGCGTCCCACAATCTTGGTGCCTCTTGACTTCAACAGGGGTTCGATTCTGTCGACCGGTTAGTTCCTTCAACACACTTTCCCATCAGGGTATGCCTCAGAACTTCATGCACTGTCTGTATTCGCATGCTTGTGGTCGCTTGAGGGTGTATGGAGAGCTACAAAAGTTTTCCTGCGAGCAGTGGTGTCCGTCAAAAGTGTCCGCTCTCTCCACTTTTTGTTCAGTTCCGTCATTGATGTAGTGATGAAGGTTTCTAAATCCTGTGGTTCAGATCCATCCGAGCGAAAGCCTTGTCGACCCGGAAAACGCAGTCGACATCATTCTCATTTTGGAAATATAGTAGGAAGCGCAAACGTTACTAGAGAAGCTGACCAAAGTTATCCAGTCCTGCGTACTTCTTTTACGTTCGTAGCAGCTTGGGGGTTAGGATGAGCTTTAGATTCAGGGATCTCAGATTCACTCGTGACTTTTCGATAACTCCCGTATAGCCCCAATTGACCCGGCAGTATACCAAGTCTTCCTGTGGGTTGCATAACAACTAGGTGCCGGAAGGGTGCAACAGCCGGGAGAATTGGTTAGTACAAATTAGTTCGAAGGTCTTTAATGTTATACGGGCCACAGAGCTGCTATTATGATCTCCTTTTTACTGTTCTTTCCAGTGGAACTCTCCCTTTACAAACCACGTGAGCTCTCTGTCGTTAGTTGCCTATTCAGATGGATCGTGCTGCCGTCCGGTAGGCACATTTAATCCTCCAAGTTCACGGTTCACTTTACGTTCTTTCATTAGTGTAGTTGTGACATGCATCTAGTCTAGGGAGAAAACGAACTTGGCCGTTGCTTTGGGACATTTCATTCTTTTAATAGCCTTCGACCTCCCCTTCCCCACCGTTTCAGGAATTGTTGCAATGAGAACACCTGAGCACATAGGTATTTGGACGGGGTTGCGATCTGTGTACGACCCATGGGCGCTTACATTTATGTGGTCATTGATATGGAACTATCGTCATATTTGGAGTTTTCCACACTTACTCGGTTGCCTCATGCAACTTCTGCGACATGTTACCAGGTTTTTTTTCGGCTGTATGTTCCCTCAGTCTACGTTTATCTTCGTACAGTGCGCCAGTCTGTTATTGCTTCTCACTAAGCCATTTGTTTGTGCATCCTTTGCTACAAGTATCCAGTTATGCAATCTATGATGTCAACCCGAGTGTGTGATAATCACGCGTGCCATTTCCTTTCAGTTTTGTACCCTATTTTGGCTTCTCATTGTATCCTAAGTATTTGATTGTTCTGAGTCGTCTAATCGCCTCTTGAGTATATATCTACAGCTCGCTATTACAATCTTTAATAAGCTTGCTTCAATGGGAAACTGACTTTTCAGGTTTTCTTGATTTACTGAGCGTAGACTCGAATAGTTAAAGCATTCCGTATACCCCAACTATCACATGTTTTGCAAATGTCACCCATGCATTTATTCAGCTGCATAGTGGTTTCATTTAGCATTGGATATCATCATCATTAGACCCACAGTTTATTCATCTCATATTGTGTTATCTAGTTTCCAGAAATTACACTGCAGGACATTCGCCTGTTCGGTAAGTTCCTGCTTTCAACCATACTTTATTTTGGGAAAGTAACCAAATTCTACCCGCGCAACTGCATAGCACTGATAACTACCCCTACATAGAGACTTGCTAAGTATTGACCAGTGTTTCATTGATGTGCGTATGTGTGATGAGCTGTCATTCACCTTGGAGTAGTTCACACCGAACTGTATACATGTCTCTAATCACGAATTGAACGTATGTAAGGTGACACCGTCAATAGTCACTTGTCCCCAGATTCCAAGGCCCCAAGACTCTATCGTCAGTCCAAGAACCAGACTGTTACATCGTAATTGTCGAGATTTTTATGTACGATGTGTTTCTGTGCCAAGATTTGAACTCTGGCTTGCGAAACAGGCCTGTTACCAATACCTCTTTGGTGCTCACTGGATTATCAGACCTGTGCATGTTCGTTACTTTGGGCAGTGTGATTTGTGACCCTATACCTGAATTATCATAGGTGTCACCTTCTTGTTCACTTGGTAAATTTCCTCCACAAACGGAGTTTGAACTTTATCCCGTAGAATCCCCTATCTTGTTGTTTCTGTAGGCCACTGCAAGATAAACGGAAACTTACCGTAAACAATCTGTCGTTTTTAGTACGAAACTCGGCCTTCCTACGTGTGGTTCGTTGCCGTTCTTTAGAGGAAGAGCTCAAGCTGTCACCCGCTCGGTCGGAGGATCTTGGTGAGTTTCTGATGTCACATATCCACCAAACATTCAGTTGAAGCTGTCTCCCAAACTCACAAACAAGTTAACTGCACAATTTGCCAGCTCTGATTCCAACACACGAGGAGAACGACTCTATGTTGTGGTACCTAGTACTTCGTGGGGCTTCCAGCTTCCTCAATGAAACCGGTCACTGGCCAGGAGATCCAAACCCTTACAGTCCATCTTTTCGCACAGACGTAATCTCTACACCTAACCATGTATTAAAAACCGGCGACGGACAATCAAAGGGACAGGTAAACGATCGCACAACGGAGGCGACTGGAAAAGAAGTCGCAGATTCTTATGTGGTTGAGACGGATTTGCCGGGATTCCGCGCTCATTTGAATCGAATTCTACGAGCTTTTGGTATTGCTTCGCCCCTGGTTAGTTTGGACTACGTGAATGTGAGTCATTTATGTTTCAAACGATTGCCTAAACCTTTTGTGCTTATTTTTACCGAGCAAAATTTTGACATATTGGCAGTTCGTTGGCTCGCAAATCTATTCCAATGCGTCCGAAGGGAAGTGCACTGCGGTTTTTCAAGAGGTGCCCCAAGAGCCCTATTTCTATTCATTTTTCTCACTACTATCTGATGACTCGTCCATGCGCCGTGCTGTTTTATTTTTAGCATCTAATACACTATTTGACGGAACTTACTCCCGATAAAGCAAGCTCAACGCACACCGTTGGTTGCTGGCGATCGATCAGATGTCCGTTGGTCCACCACCAGTAAACACAACCGAGCTACCAAGATTCCGACACACCTTTGGCCACAGAAGAGGCCCCTTCCCAGTTATTTGAACGGTCCAAATACCAGTGGATTTGAAACCGCTCATTCGGTGTGTGCCGGAGGGCCGAGAAACACTGCATCTGTTTCATCCTCATTGAGAATAATTAGCATTTCGCGTCTCACAAATCCTCAGAGATTTAAGCTTGCCATCTCCAGACCAGCATTTGAAAACTAAGCCATTCAGCTGCGAGCGGCTAATCAGCAGTGAGGTTTAATCGCCCTCACACAGGATATGATGCCATTCGTGTTTTAGTCACCGGACTCACTTCACGCGGTCACGTGGCTCTTTGCTTGACAACTTTTCAGGTGGTAGTTGCAATTATTCTTCCTTCCTTCAGCTGCTCGTTGCTCAACAGCTTGGTCCTACTGGCCGGAAGGCTGCGAGTTCGAATTGCCGTAGAAATTTGTGAAATGCGCACTGATGATGATTCCCAGCAAGGGCGAAACAGCTGCACAGTGCTTCTGAGCTATTCGGCACAGCTTAGCTTCATTTACAGGACGAAATATCCATTGAAAATCCTCATTCACGCTTGATTCTCGGTGTTGACGTCAGCGAGACGATCGCGCGGCCATTGTTGGTCAACTAAGACCAGCTGAATTATTCATGAGTACGAAGGGCTGTCGATACGTAAGAAACGAGTATATATGCACATGAGTTAGGGTGTTAAAGTCCAAGAGGAGCGTATTGGTAGCTCAGGTAGAGTAAATGGCTGTTGTTTTGTTCTCTGAGCTGGGTAGTTTAGATTGCAATCAAATTGTTGTTCCGCTTTATACTCCGTGTTCACCTAATCCACTTACGCAAACCCGAAAATGGCCCTTAGGGTCAATACTCCGGATTTTCTGCCTTCTTCATCCCAAAAATCAACAATACGTCTGACTCATCTTGTTGACTGTCTATGGTACCCGGACTGAGAAACTTCGTTATTTGCACACGTTTTGTTCACCTAGCTGACCAATATTGAATCAAGCACGTTCACGATGCTGACTTGGTCTTGTCTGTCAACTTCTTTCGATAAAATTGTAGTCTAACAGAATGGAAAGTGATATCTTCGGTTCCAAACTGTTCCACCGAAGGAGAAATGTTTTCTGACGAAGTCAATGGTTCCAATAAAAAAACCTGCAACGTCTTTCCGAGCGTTCATAGCCGTCAGTTTATGATGAATCGCGTGTAAGCTTAAATTGTTGAGGTGTTGCAAGTGTCGTTGTAGATGAAATGTTCAACGCAGAGATTTCGTGTTTCGCATATGCACTGTAAGAACCTATGCGAGTTTAGAATTTGCAACTCACAATGGGCTTTTCCACCAACAGAAATCCACCTTGAATTTCTATGCAACTGGCAGAATGATCTGAAAATTCAAAATTTAATCCATTTTTTTGAATGACTGTCAGATCCTTCATCTGATTCGAAGATAACAATCCCAGTTGTCGCAATGGTCCGATATAGGTTTCTGTCAAAACAACCTTGTCAATAACGTTGACTTCTTCAGCTTCTGGGGACTTCGAAATGTGCTTAAGTGTAAACAATAATAACGGTTCAGGTGCAACACCCTTTCGGTGCCTAGCTGCCATTCCACCCGAAGGAATCACGAGGACCGAGATACTGTCAGGTCGCCCAACCCGAGACGGCAACAGTCAGTAGGTTGGGGTTAAGCCACGGACCTATCGGTCACCAAGTTCATGCCTTAACCACTGAGCTATTCCGAGCTCGAGTCTGCTCGGAAATGTTCTAGAATTCAGCTGAAATGTGCGAATCGTCAAGTTGACGGGGATAAATATTAAATTTCAGGCTTTTGGAAGTCGCTTCCAACTGCAGGCCTGGAAGTCTGGCAGGCGTTAGATGTTTGGGTCTAGTTTAAAAAATATGATTCCGGTTCGTTAGTACCCGAGGATTTTCTTAATGTTCACTTGTTCCTTTGTGGATTTAGTGACAACAGTGCTGAACAGTAGGTAGGTTTAATCTTGCTGGCATCTTGTAGTCTCCGTGGCATACAAGCTTCTAAAGGGAACTAACTTTCTTAAATGGGGATTGAAGGTTTCTGCGGCTTTGCATTCGAACAACGTATCCTCTCCAGGTTTTCCGGAGTCGTACATGAGAAGCTTTCGAACTTCTCTCAAGAAAACACGATTCTCGATACAACCAAGGGAGAAGGCAACCCGAGTTCTCTTGATTGCCATCCTGCAAAACAACTCGACTCAACGTTCCGAATTCCGTAGTGTTGGGACGTATTCTTCGTTTCAGAAACGCAAAGCGGTTTGTAACCTGTACCAGCAGTGTTAATATCATTCAGACTTCTCCCGAAGCTAAAAACTGGTTCAAATCCAAACCTTAGTTGCAAACTTAGCACTTCAAATGTGTTTTGGCGAAAGGACATATCTCAGCGTTGCCACCTCTGAAACAAAACCCTTGGACTGTTTTCCTGACAAAATAGATAAAATTTGCCGGAGTCATTTCGGAAAAACAGGTTTGTTACCAAAACATGTCACTTGCCAGATACGCCATCGGAAGTGTCAGCATACGGGTGTTTGTTTTGTTGAGCAACTTGCCAGTCAGATAGTTTTGTCCACTGGATGCCATCCAAACCCCGTGTTCACAATGTTTTGGTGAAACAACCATTTTTTCATTCCAAATAAAATCCCAGTGGTAGTCTCCCATCCCACGAAATCCCAATAACTAGACGGGATAAACGACACTCCCAAGGAATTCGGTAGTATTGTTGGATCTTCCCCCAAGTGAGTTAGAAAGAGTTAAAAGAGATTGGGCGCTGTTACTTGTTGGCTCAAAGTGAAAATGCTGGTGACGACACAGTGGATATATCAGATGAAGCTATCCAATGTTTCCGCCACCGAGAGTGGCTTTTATCAGGGACTAAAGCGCTATCATTATGGCTAGCCAAAGACTGGTCAATACATCCTTTTGTAAAAGTCATAATTGTCCTGCAACTTACGTGTGCGTTACCTCTTGCGCATACTTAACACCCAGCCTCGGAAATGAACTATCATGCCACGCGCAGCTTATCGTGCTTGATTCGCCTCTGTACGATGAATCAGGCCGCACCAAATGGCCGATAAGCCAACACTGTCAGACTGACTGCGTACAGCACGTCGTTGCTCACTGCCTGAGACTCTAGCTGTGGTAAGGCAGTTCTCACAAGCCCCGGTTTCCGCTGTTCAGTCAGAACTCCGTCGTGTCACGTCGATCGAGACATCGTCCCCGCCTCTAAAACCGCAGGCCCGTGGGCTCTACTCATATCCAAACCGTCGCGACCACCGTTCCGCGTGTTTGTACTCGTTTTACAACCTATAGTTGTGAGGCCAGTGTGTACACAAGTGTATTCTACTGTCGGACGGTGGCCGTCACTTGGTCCCTTAGTGAGTTGCTGATGCGAATGGTTGCTAAAGCGCAATAGAAACTATGCCATTATAGTCTTTACTGCGGCACTGGCATCAGTCGCGGCTGTTGTGAGCTAGTTCTGGCATCTTCGAATCGTATTCGTTTACCAGGAGTGAATACACTATTTAGCACTTTTCTGTCATAAGTCTACTAAGCCAAAATATTTATCAGACTGAGTGGGTTCCAACATCTGCTGCTCAATTCTTTTTGGGCTGAAATCTGAAGTATCGCTCATTTCCTTAACAAGATAGTAGTATCTCAATAGTTTGTACGAAACTATGCCTTCATTTCCTTTTCCTTCCCTTAGGAGATGTGTCGATTCGGTGGCAGTGAGCTGCACTCGGTAGCCGCTTTTATGGGTGGTATCGTCTCACAGGAGGTGATCAAGCTGCTTACTCATCAGTTTGTTCCGATTACGAAACCTCTTATTTACAACGCCATCGCCCAACGAACAGAGTTGATCGATTTTTGACTGCATTAGTGAATCATGTTCCCGTATTCTTCAATGTTATTTAACTGTCCTCCTTTTCCCTTCTGTGTTATGCATTTGCATGCCGTGAGTCAGATTCAATTCATTTGAAATCAATCAACCCTAATTCTTCCTTTCGTCTTGATGCTGGACTTGGTCTAGGTAGCGTAAACAGGAATGCTGTAGGGCTATTTCTATGCGCTTAGTAGGGGACTAGAGGGTCTTTTTTAAGTGACACTGTTAAAGCGAAAAAAAGGGTTATGTAACCGAACTGTTAATGCTATATGGATTTCTGCCAACTGAAGGTCTCTTAGCAGACTCCTCTTTCAGGCACCTAAACTGATTTGCATTCCAAAGTCAGGATACTTCGAGATGTATCAATGAAACGGAGAGACAACTTTGCTTCTGAATAAAAGTTCGGGGATGGATTCTTACTACGGTTTAATTGAAACACGGTGATATCGTAATCTACCTGAACGCACGAATGACAGGTGTAACATTGTGCAACGCAGCGACCCGAGTTGACATTCAGAAGCGAGTCGCTGCAAGTTCCACCTGCACACATTAATCTATATGGCATCTATCAGCAACTGAGTTGCTGGCAGTCGCAGTTAGGTCATCAAAGATACGTTAGCTCAAGCCCTGACTGTTTCACACTCCTTTTTACAGGGACAACAATGGCACAAAGTACAACGGTACAACTTGAACGTCTCCAGTTCTGCTTAAAGCCAATCGGATGAAGTACGCTGGTAAAGAGACTAGTTTTCACCAGAACAACACGTTGGATTTAACACACTGACAGCCCATCCTGCAACACTGTCATTTGATGACAGGTGTGTACTCAAGGTGACAGTTGCCCTTAGGACCATTCATCACTGCATGCTTGTCAGTGTCTAGCGATTTACACAACAGGTACCGGAGACAAAAAAAGATCACTACTGAAATAAAGGCAACGAAGTTAGGGCTGAGTCTATAAATCATCTCCAAAGATAAGTCTCCGATGCGAATCTGACTTCAGTGATTATCAACTGGCCTCATCAATTAGGATGTTAGAGATGCACCTATCTCCTCATTTTATGGATTAATCAGACGACCCGACTGTTCCCACTTGTTTTATGGCACCTGTCAGACCATGTGGCTTAATCCTAGTTAATCCGATGGTGCAAACGGTCGGTATAGACGAGCGAGAGGAAATCTAAGCTTAGTGGTCCAACTTTAATGAATGGAAAAGGGTGTCGGCGACAACCACCGTTACATTCCAGCTACGGATAATTGTGACTTGGCGATAAGGATTGACAACTTTCCCCACTGACTTCGTCGATTAGTTTGCGGTTATTTATTTGACAGTGTCCTTTGGACTACCCGGCTATATCCCGACGATGATTATGTACACGAGGAGAAGTGATATTCCAGCTAGAGGTAAACAGTTTGGTAAGACCAGCTAATTACTTATGGACAGATCGGCCAACAGTCATACCTGATCGAACATGAGGCTTCATGCCGGTTAATCCAAAAATGCGCATTGGTGGTGAACGGGGGGAATCGAATTCATATCAATCTTGTTTGAATACCCTCCTGTCCTGGCACAATTATTCCACGGAGTTCATACCAATGATGGGTAGAACCAGACTGGAGCCTCATTCTTATTGGAACTCATTAGGCGTATCGAGATTTGAATTTCGGAAAAATGAAATGCGAGACGAGCGTGTCGCCGTTGCTCTGCCGGTGAGAGCTGGATGCACGTCCGAGCGTGTTCATACTAACGCGATATCATTGGTTCGCTCAACGACTGAGTGACTGTTGTGGTTGTGTCGATCGGTTGGCCCGTTCATCAGGGCTTCCGGTCAACCTGCGCCACGGGCGCTCGAAACCTGCCGAGTTGTTTTTGCTTAGTTATAGGTCATTGCGGAATAAGCACACTCACCGTTCACTTCTTGCACGCATAAGCCACAATCCGTGGTGCGTTGTTCATAGTGCCACAATGGTTCTGACTTTGCCCGCATAAATCAGGGATGCGAGGATACCAACCGAGTTAGTGCATATCCTTCAGCAACAACGTGTGCTGTACACAGCGATGACCTTCGAGTTAAACGCCTCCGGGTCTCAGCGAGCTAGCGTTAATGGTATCCCACAACAATATCCGGGATCACATTGGCCTTTGAAATGAGCAAACCAGTGGTGAATGATTTCATGCGATGCCTTCCACGTTTGAAGCACGACGGGACTGTTGCAGGGTTTGGCAACTGTTTTCATTCCATGCGGTCCGGAGGTCCATTTTCATGTTGGCCATCATCATGGACTTTGATCTTTGCAACATGCATGTTGTATGATCCTATTAACCAGCGGTTTTTGGAGGAAGCAGATTTCGCAATGTTTCTCATTTTCCGATAGAAAATTGAAATCTACGTTAAGCTGATGCTGTTTCAATGAGCACGATATTTTTGAAAGCATCGGTTCGCTTGCTTTGACGAATGCCATGATGCCAGTAGGTATATTTTAGTAACTAACAAATCGAATTCAAGTTGTGCGGGTTTTTTCGGCTTGGTAGACCCCTCCGGATGTGACCAGGTGTTTAAAGTTGCTGTTCTGTATTGGTTAGGCACAGCAAAAACTGCCTGTGAGGACCACCCCTGGGGAGCCCCAAAAAGTGGCATCCATAGGTGATGAGCTTTCACCTCATTTTATTGCCTGGTATGTGTGTGTAACCGTCCCGCGGTTAGTGCGGTAACGTCCTTGGAAAGTACTATATGAGCACCAGGGCTCTTTCAAAGACACTTTAAGAAATACAGTACCAACACTGCATCAAACATCGCTCCTACTGGCAATAGCTGAGCATCTGGTGGAATGGACGTGAAATTCCCACATTGTAACAACAGCTAAGAAGTGAACAGTGCACAGAGGCGCGCATTACTTTCCTATGGTGCGGTGCTCCCGTTTTGTCGTCATTCGATTTCAGCATCAGGGAACATGTGTCAGCTCCATTTGTTCACTTCCACAGGCAGTTCGGAGTGATTTGTGCTTCTAAATACGGCTAAAGTAAGAGTGGTTTTCCAGAAGAGAAACGCTGCACCGATGCAATTTAAGGGTCGTCTCCAGGAGAGCAGAACCAGGGACTGTGTCCACAAAATTAAATGCACCGATGGTCAAACACTGACATCTTTCGTATGTCTTCTACGAGTAGAGCAAATATCAGATCCACAAAGCAGTATGGATCGCATCACCACAGTGCAAACTCTACTCTTGACAAACTAGCTGACATCACGTCGGCACCATAGGTGTCGGAGGTTGGCAAAAGGTGTCCTGACTTTTCCGATTCGAGAAATAATTTCATCTCCAGCCAGTCCACCGGAACTTATACAGCTGCCCAGGTAAACGAATTTATCTACCACGGCGATTGCTTCGCCTGCAAGCACGACGTGTGGGTTTGATCCCAGAGTCTTGTGGCAGCACTTAACACTTTCAAGGTGTGAAGCACATGCCAAACCGTGCGGTAGAGTTATTTAGGTTGTGTAAAATCGTCTGCATTTTTGGAGGATCTGAGCCAAGGAGTGCAATATCGTCCGCATGATCAATGTCTGTGAGGGAACGTCCGGGAGCAGTTCGACTCCCGAGATTTCAGAGGCAGGCAGAGAAGTTTCAAGCAGCATATCGAGAACGAATTGAAGAGAAACGGTTAGAGAGGACAGCCTTACCTTACACCACCGGACGTGTTGAACTCAGGCGAAAGTTTGCCGTATGCTCGTACGAGCCCACAGGTGTTTATATACAGTGCCCTCATAAGAGGTATAAATTGGGAAGACACCTTTGATCGCCAGACATTGCGAAAGATTCCGACGATCGGCAGAATCAAAAGCAGCTTTCAAATCTTGAAAAACGACCAACGTGGGACGTTTGGAGGAGTAGCGCTGTCGAATTTGTCTCAAGGTACAACTATGGTCGATGAGTCCCCGGCCAGAACGAAACCCAGCTTGATTCCTGCGGGTCTGGCTCTCTCGACAATCAATGAACCTGCACAAAATATTGCCAGAGAGCACCATAGGTGCGATGTATTCCAGGTTGATGCCACGATCGTTTTGGGATGACATTCTAAGGTCATTTTTGAAAACTGAGATGGTGGTCGAGGAGCTCCATTCAGCTGGTGCACTATTTTCGTTCCAGTATGATTGTCAAACTGTTCACCAAAATCTCGCCACCTTCTTTGGAGATTTTTGGGTTATAGACCATCCGCGGGAGGCTCCCTGTCGCGCTTCAGGAGTGATATCTTACGCTGGATTTCGGTTGCTGATGGCGGGTTGGTGTCGAGTATCTATTCAGGCCCGTCAGGTTCTTCCAGTAGTTGTGTTGAAGGGGACAGTGGAACTGTTCAGCCCATCGCTCAAGACGACGATTGAGTCAGTGAATTGATGTTTCGTCTTTTTCGCATATTGTTTCGCGGACAACTGTCTTCCCTTGACCTGTTGATTGAATCAGCTGAAATAGAGGGCACTTGTTGGCTGCAGCGAAAGCCTTCTCCATTTCCTGGGTCTTCGAAATCCATCAGCGTTCTCCGTCACTCTTCAAGTTCCTGATTATCCGGTATTTGAAGGATATGCGTGTGCCATCATAGTCGCTAGTTGCTGGTGTGGCCTTACCGGCAACAATAATATTTGCTGTTCTCAGCGATATCCAGTGCTCATTTGGTCAAGGCTTGAACATACAGTCCTGAAAGCCGAGAACATAGCTTTTTTTTACCTCGGCTCCACTCGACCTTCAAGCAATCTTCGTCATCTGCATCACTGTGCGTTTCCAGTGGCTTTCTAACCAGATCAGCTCGATACTCATGAGCTACTGAAACTTGCCAAAGTTAATGAACGGAGCTGCTGTCCTCTGGCAGGCGTAATGCTGACGGAAAGCGAACTGATAGCCGGGCCAATCGGTAACCGATAGCCACATGGTCTAATGGAGTCCACGACTGTCTTGCGGGGTGTCTGGCCTCCAAATAACTCGATGTGGGCGATCGTGCTGGAAATTTGTACTGGCCAGGAAAAAAACTATGCTCTGCACACAACTAGGGAAGTCCGTACGGTGAGTATCGACTCCAAATCTACCACTCAATTCGACCAACTTGGACATGTATATCATCTCAATATCCCTCGCGCTTGCTGACCGATACAATCGTCACACATTAATAAAACCCGTCCTTATCATTCTCAGAAATGATGTCTGTCAGAACGTATGCTGGTAAGACGAAAAAAGACCTGCATTGATCTTAATTAAGCTATACAACCGCACAGCGCAAAGACGATTGTTTACTGGGATCCAGTCCAGTAAGGTGTTTTCAGCCTTGGGGCTGGGTGTAACTCCCACACCGTAGATACCAAGATCCGTAGCGTCAGTATCATCAGATACCGGAAGAGTGAAATGTGGAACATCTGAGCACGTCTTAGGCGGCTTGAGGTGCACGACCGAAGTGGGATCTTGTGTGTGTGTTTTGGAGACACAATATAAGTCGACAGAGAGGAAAAGCAAGGTTTTGGCAAGGGATGTCTGTTGTCCTATTCGACATACAGTACGGATATTGAAGGCTGCAACATGGATCATATTTTTCGAGGTTAGTAGGTGATTATTTTGGTTTACTTTTCTGAGCGACGGTTGAGACACGGAACAGTGGTTAGGGGATTGGTAGATGCGTTGATTGCACTGCATATTGGTTGACGAGTTGGGAGGTAATGTGGGAGAAGGCCGGTGATCAAAGAACTTAAAGGGCAAATGATACTTCCAGGTTGCGAAGGCCCGAGAATGCGGTCTAGTTGAGGTACCCAAATTTGAGCCTGACTCAAAAGTTTGACCTACTAGGCAGTGAGAGGATGTTCGTTTTTGTCCATAGACCGTCCCTAGCCTCTGAATAAAAAATCTGACCCACAATGCAGTAGGAGAATGCAGGGTTTTCTTTGGAGACCCTGCCCGGAGCTGAAGACCCAACAGTCTGACCTGACCAGCTGCAGAGGGTCGGCGTAATCTGAGGGCGCAGGGAATAAGGCATTACAGCCTTGTTCCTGATGCCGTCGTTCACAGCAGGTACCTTTTGAACAGCACCAGAATTTTTGGTTTCAAAAGTATTTCGACTGTATTGAATAATGCGCCGGTGGTCACGGCCAGCCGTTGGGAGATCGGAGTGTTCGGTTTTTAGGGCCGACCTTTACTAACCCGTCCTTCCTCGAGGGTGTGCAGCATCGCTGTTTCCATGAATATGGACATGCTGGTCACCTAGGATAAACGCCTTACTATCTTCAGAGGGTTCAGCTCTAGCACTCTTTCGGTGCCTAACTGTCATGCCACCAGAAGAAAGCACGAGGACCAGGCTGCCCAAGCCTAGATAGAGGAAGTCGAGCGGTCGGGTTCAAACCACGGACCTTCCGGTGAGCAAATTCGCGCTCTAACCACTGAGCCATCTCGCATTACTGCCTTCACACTCCTCATGCAGAGGACAGTACGACTTTACCACAAACCGCCATGTAGAATGATTACTCGTAGTACAAGGTCTCGCTGCTCTTGGTTTGACTGCTTCCCTGGGAGATTCCTGGCATGGGCGCAGCCTGCGGTACTGAGTTCCAGCCAGTGTAGCCCGCAGGATTATGGCAACATTCAAGCCCGACTACCACGTCAAGGTGGTAGCTTTAAGTCGGGTCGCAACACCCCAATGACGATTGAAATGTGCGCGACCCAAAGTAGTTCGTTTTGAATCCTTGCTGAGAAAGACAAAACTGAAATCGATTTCGGCTTAGGTTAACGATGGTGGCGGTTTGGGGAATTATCTGAATGACCATCCTCGATGGCATTTTTGGGACCAGGAGGACATTTAAGATGGTCTGATAGGTCGTGGTTCCCAAGAAAACTGTCAGTAGTGTACACGTTGCGTTTACTTCGTACGTATCTTTGGTGAGGTGCGTTTTGGGATCCTCAGAACCTGCTTTTTTTCAACTGCTCCACTACTGAGAACAAACAACACATTGAGCGCGACCAAGCCGATGTGGGTAACACCGTTTGACTGCATCCCACCATGTACCGTAGCCGCCATTTATGAGCGAAGGCGGGTGTTAATCCTTTCTATGCAGTCTTTGTAGTCATACCAGAAAACGTTCATCATATCACAAAACACAGGCCTATTAGATTTCACTCTCATGCACGCCAGGGTCTCATCGGGAGGTTGCCAGTACGGAATCTCTGGTTACCATAATTTTGTGCCAGGGACGCACTTACCGTCGCAACAGTCATTTTGAGTGGTAGTAGCGTCAGGCGGAATTATGTACCCATATCGCCTTGCCTCATATCGCTGAGCGCTACAACGTCTTCCGAGCTTAAATCACGAGCCATTGGTCGAAGGAACATGATGCTCGTAGGCCTGGCAGTAAGATGAGCTTTGGTTAGTTACCTTGAGTCAACAATATCTTCGTACCAATCGAGGACAGCTGATCATGGCGACGGAATCTTTAGCGTTGCGTCGGTTTACACGAAAAACTTGGTGTAAATGCACTTGTAGAAAGATGCGCGGAAGTTCACTCCTGCTCAATCTGCCACCTGTTTATGTCAAGTTAGTGACAAGTCCTTTAGTTGTAGAAGGCTCGATTTTCCTACTCGGAACGTATACGAAAGTCCTTGTGCTACTAGTGATCAAACCCATCCTCAACGGTCTTAGTATAGTCTACTTTCGGCTAAACGCGTGTTTTGAGAAGCCGACTCAATGTGATGTGCCGGAATAGCTCATCATGGGCCTGTTAATCCATTGTACCAGAACCATAGGAAGGCAGTAGTTTGGCAAATTAGGATTTCAGACCAGTGCAGCTAGCTCAATAACATAACCCAGACCCACTCCCCTGCCTCAGTTAGCCTAATGTAAGGTTTAACTCATTAGAGTAACTATACAGTTCACCATAATTGAGAGGGCACTATCCGTTTACAATAATTGAGTGATTGTGCTGGTACAACGCATTTGAAGTGATGGCGGGCAGTAGACGGCTCACACCATCGCTCGGGGTTGTACCACCACCCAATGTATTTTTACGTGATTAGTCACTCCTCTTCTCTCTTCCTCATGAGTTCACAATCCCATAATAAAACATCAGTTTTTAAACTCATAATGTTGGCCTGGTTTGACAATTTTCCTCCTACACTTCTTTGATATTCTTCACCGAAGTCCAAATCTCCGGGTATCGTGAACCCAGACATCTCCACTTTCCGAACTACTCAGTCCATCGTTTCTGGCTCAAAAGCGAAATCTGTGCTTACACACCAGCCTCATGGCAACATAGGGCCTGAACACTGGGTTTCATCTCTTTATGGTGCAGTTCAGTCTATCAATTAGTAACAAACCGCTTTTGCCTCCCTTGACCAATGACAATTTATGAATCTGAGCCACAAGTCAGATTGCGAGAATGTCCATCCACGTTGCAGGAGCCCTCGACAGTCAGCATGGAAGCTGATTAGTGACTTGGAAATGTGGTAATGAGAACGGGTATGCGTCATCCCCACTAGTTTAGACGTATTCGAGCGGCTTTGCCGTCCTAAGACACTGTAAAGTTTGGGTGCATTGATCGGGCATATCCAATATCAACTGGAGAATGCATTACCGCTTTAACAATACTGGTGAGTGTGTACGAAACCCAATAAAGCAACTGTCCCGACCAGCTGTGTGCCAAGCATCTCTTTGGTTTTGTAAGATGATACATATCATAAATTTTTAACTGCCAAGGGGAGCAAATAAGAGCCCTGGTGGAGGCACCTCTCCGGCGTCGGGCTGAATCTCTCCCAGTGCTAGTAATTGCGGAGTTAAGCGACTTCGCTCGCTCCTTGAAAACACTCTCGTGCTTCTTTTAGGGCTACAACTGTTTACTGTGACACCCTCTGAAAGATTTGATCGATTCGGGTTCCCTTATTAGACCCACTTGGACATGAATTCCGGCTGAAAGTGAGTGCCATTACTTTCCCAATACATAGGCAAGGTGCCCACAGATGGAATTGGATTGTTTGCTACTTTTTTCTCACAGGAGGTTGTTATTTGTGAATTGGAAAATCATAGAGGAAATAAATTAGAAGCTAAGAAAACCCAACTGCATCTGTCAATGGTATATATTCAAAACAGTAGAAATTTTATACGAATCCCAGTAAACTAATACACAGGGAAGCAACTTTCAACCGCGTCACTTGCAGTCTGGAATAAGAGCGTCTTGGGAGCAGTGAACATGTCCGTGAATGGAGAAATGTTCATCTACTGACTTCAGATGGCGCGCTGATCCTTTCAGAGAGTTCTTCAGCTTTGTCCATCGGCTCCGACAGTGTGCTTCTTCCATGTAGCTGTTGCTCCCAAAGCTGACTGTAATACGAGTTCGGCTGGTTCAGAAGGCTCAAATGCGTACCCCGTTCCGAAATACGTCCGTTACGGAGCACCAGAATCTCGTCCGCATCCACAATCGTACTCAGACGATGGGCAATCACGAGGGATGTTGTCCCCGGTGTAACTTTGGCCAATCGTTGCAATATATTCTAGATTGATAAATGAAAGCAAGTCGACGTAATCGGGAACGTGAAAAAATACTAAAGATAAAAACTATAGAGAAAATGGACAACGAACCGGCGCTAAACTTCGTAAATGATCATTATTAGAAGAGGCGTCTTCCACTAGGTAGCATTGGCACCAGGCGTCACCGCCCAATTTTTATCCTCAGACTATGATTACACATAGGATGTTAGCGAGAAAATGGGGAACGACGGTCGATTATTGGAACTTAGGCAATAATGTGTGCCCACCGAAACACACGACGCTTCAAACATCCTTCGGGCAAAACGTAACACTACGGCTGACAGTAATGCAGTCTCACCGAGGACTACCACTTCCATTTAACAAGACATGCGCATTTTGCAACAATGGAATGGATGGTTTTCAATAATAGACACGAGAACGCCATATGGAATGGCTCCAACGCGCCAGTTGCCAACCAATTAGGCAGCAATAAGCACTGGCTAAGTATGGTGCCATCTCAGTAACTAATCCACTAGGATGGCCTCTAAAATCGCGATACTTGGCGAGAATGGTGTGGGGGGGGGGACGACTTTCAAATGCAACAGTGAATCACGTCCGTAAAACAATTTTGACTGCTCAAGCGAAGTTTCACATGTTGTTGGGCCGATTTTTCTTTTGGTATTGAATGGTTTTGTTAGTCTCAGGGAAGACTTAATTATTTTCACAGTTTTTTGGTACCTTCAGTTCCAACGGGATTGAACTTTTGTAAATCTATAAGGTGCTTTTATTCTAAGTACATCTTACTCTGGTGTTCGGAAGTCATCATAGATGTGAAACACATTATGAATCAAAGTAGGAAAAGGGTCGCATTTTTCAAATCTCAAAGCAGCGTTTTACCCCTATTCGGGACGCACTGTGGCTTGTATGGCTGAGGTTCAAAGTAAAAAAAACTCAAAATCTAGGCTCACTTGAAGGAACTCTTCCTTGCACACTACTGATAAGCTTATCAATGTCCATTAGAAACTGTAAATTGTGTCGGCGTCCTAGAAGAAGTGGCTTTGACCTGACAAGTAAATACGATAGAAAGAAGCTCATTCAATTTTTAACTGATCAGGGACATGAACAGGGGTACTGGGATCCGCTAACTTGTAGCTGCAACAAACAAGTGGTCCTTCTAGGAAAGAGACATGTTTCATAGGAATGAACTCTTTTGGATGAAGAGCTGTTGGGATGGCTGCTCCAGTGATAAAACATTTGACAGGAATAGGTTAGAAAGAATTTCTACTTGTCTACAAACAACATTCCAACTACCCTGCGATTCCGATCGACCAATTTGGAACACATTTCAAGCCACAAATTGATAGGATATCGTCCAAAAAATTACAAACCCAGGAGAGTGATAACTGGCACGCCAGCAGTACAAAAGAAGTATTTAGTTTGATGTTGGAATCCCGAACATGAGTGCGCTGACAAACTGTCGGTCACACACTTTTACCGCAGCGCATTTATTTATTCACATAACTCTTCGGTTGGTGAAATTTTACTAAACGGGCTACATGCAGAGACCGGTTATAGCCACCGGAGGAAGGTAGAAATGTTTTTGTTGTGTCTTCACTGACGAAATGAAGTATGTGAGACATTTTGAGACAGGGGCCACCAGCCAATTTGAGGGCGATCTGCATCGGAATCCGGGTCATCAAGGCCCGAAGAAAGCTGCCACCTTGATGAAGATGATTGAAACTTAGTTCTGCAGTGATGCGACAAGCTACGCTAGATAGAGCTCCGGTCCTCCAGGCCAAACCGTACTAGCAAGGTTAAGGGAGGGCAGCAAGGTTCCATACTACAAGTAGTCGTGTTACGAGGCGGTATGGAGGTAAATTCGTACTGTTCTCTGCAGTGGGACTGTGAAGGCAGTAAGACGTTCCCTTCGGGAAAACAGCATGTCCGTATTTAGAAAATTACTGAGGCTGCATTTCTCCCAGTGACGAGGGATTGGAGAGAAACGGTCGTAAAAACCGCATTCTCTGAACATCGAACGGTTTGCCGTGGCCGCCGGTGAGTTATTTGACAAGTCAAAAAAGCAAGTAAATCTTACAAAAGTCCGATGTGCCCCAGACCGCTTTGGCGATGCGCTGTAACAGCGAAGCAAACGGCGCTCTTGTGTTCACCTAATCAACCCACCTTAAAATATATTTTTAGGTTTTCTTTCATGTCTTGTCTTTGTCGGTGGCCCGAGACTGTGGTGATCGGAAACCATCACGTACACACAGACAGTTCATGATAGTAAACTGGAATGGGACGGGTCGCCAAACCAAAACTTTGCCATACTTCCCACTGAGCTACCAGAGCCCACACACTAATCAACTGTAAGGACACCGGCAAAAGGATTGGTTTCGTATAATATTGGTGAGAACATAAAATAAGTAGACCATTTTCTCAAACAGGGACTGATTTGCAATGGATATGAGGCTTAAATCTAGTCTCAAAGTAAACAACGTAATTCTCTTAAGAAAACTAAGGTCTATTTATCACGAGACATACCCTAACAGGTCTTGCCAAAGAGACTTAGATCAAACCAATCTGTCAGGGAACGGTGCCTCAAGGTTTATCGCCTAGTTTTTCGGTTGCCAATTTCAATATAAGATTTATCTAAACGTCAAGACCAGAAGACAAATTGCTTTTCGGTTGCTCAGCGTTCCACAATGGAATTAAATTTCTAGACTTTAGAATCATTTGACTTCTGGAGAAGCCGAGGAACTGGTCTGAGAGATAACGTTAAGGGAATACAAGGCAGTCATCTCAAAGGAGTCGGAGAGGATGCTCGCGGTAAACTAATGTCCACTGAACAAACAAGTGAATTAGATATTCCAAAGGGCGACAAGCAGTCGTACGACATTACATTTCCATTACTGTTGCCTATAGCAAAACAGAGGACGGGGCACTCCGATTCCGGCCGGACGAACATGGTAACACGAAAAGCATAATATACAAAGATATCCTCGCAGTAAAACACAAAACTTTTTTCTGGGTGGGGCTGAGGAACTGTACTACACAAAGGCCATAAAGTTGGTTTGTTAACCAAAAACGCACTCACATGCTCGGTGATGGAGTCCAAAGAGGAAGTTGCCTCGTCATAGATTAGTATGGGTGCTTGCTTTAATAGAGCACGGGCGATTGCAACACGCTGCTTCTCGCCACCACTCAGTTTCAAGCCTCGTTCACCAACCTAGAAACGAATGACACGTATACTGTTAATGACAAAAATAAGATTAATATTGATAACAGTCATCAAAGAAGTGGTACTGTGGTAAACTATAAGAACCTGAGAAACAAAACAAACCACGTGCTGTAAGAAGTGGAATTGTAACAGGAACTCGGAGGAATTCTAGAAAGAGCATTTGTAGACATGAGAGCCTAAACAAATAACTGGGTCTATGTGAACGAAATGGCATTCGAATGGTTTTGGATAAGAACTAGTCCACACACTGCAAACGAAAAACGGAAGTCGAGGGCGGGATTTGAAACAGATACATCTATATTACCAAATAAGCGCCTTGTTGGGTATCGCAGATACTGAGCCACTATGGAAGCCATTCAACGGGTGCAACAAGAGCGCTTCCGGTCTACAGCTATTGATTCATTACGCACAGGTCCGGTGAAACAATGTGGCGTCCATGGTAAATCAGCTGGTAGAGTTCTTTTCAGATAGGAGATAAGTCGAGGGTCAAGGTCAAATGTATTGGGTTACCGCTTAAGGCGGAGCAGAGAGGAAAGCGGTTGGGGTACGACATTGGCAAACAAGTTAACTTAAATTAATTTGACTGGTGAAAAGGTGATATAGGATTTCAATCAAGATTCATGCGTTATTTTATTCTACACCAGCCAAACGTTAAAACTGTGGTGCACATTGGCACTTACCTGAGTTTCGTATCCGTGCGGCATACGTTCGATGGCACTGGCCAGATCGGCCAGCTTTGTCGCTTCATACACCTGTTCCGGAGTGGCGTTCAGGTTGCCATATTGTAAATTATAATAAATTGTGTTGTGGAACAAAACCGCGTCCTTCAGAAAGCAGAACACAGTGCGACATAAGATTTTGAGAAAGCGGAAACCATAGTACGATGTATCGAACATATATGCCATTCATTACTAAAAACCTAATACAGCTGCGTATCTAGAAAACGCGGCAAAACATTTTGGAATCATTTGTTGTATGTCAACACTTAGCGCAGATAAAAAGGACAAAAAGATGTAAATTGCCCGATTCAGGGCAGAGTGGCTTTATGTCTTGCCTAAATGCATGTTAATCACACCGGTGTTAATCAGTCACCGCTGGCCAAGCTGTGTAGATTTCAGCCAGTTGTGGGTTCGAATCTCCCTAAAGATCGGGGAGACGTAGAGTGCTGCTGGTTTCCGGCAGAGATGAAACAGCTGTCCAATACTTCTCGATTTTTCAACACAGACCCGCTCCACTTGTGGGGAAAAGCAATAACTACAATTTCGGTCACCTAATACTGTCAATAAACATTAACGGGAAACCAAAGATACCTGAGGTACGACTGCAATCGCACGTCGAAGGCTATCCAAATTCACTGAACGCACGTCCTGTCCACCGACAAGGATGGCACCTTCGTTCACATCAAAGAACCGGTAAATGAGCCGAACTAAGGTGGACTTTCCGGTTCCACTGCCACCGACCACGGCCACCCGTTGGCCAGGATCGACCTGAGGTTGGAGTGCAAACAGAGTTGCAAGTTCGATAGGTAATAGGGCATCCAAATTAACAAATAAAGTGTAAGTACCAGCCGAGATAGCATGGCAATTGGCGCAGTAAATGTCGTTATCTCAACTTATAAGTCCAAAAGTATACCAGTAGCTGGGTAACTCCAAAAGGAACTCGAGAATATGGACTAAATTGACCATAGCGAGTTCATACTTACGTCAATGCGGAGAATAAGAGTTTTGCTAAAATTTGCGGTTTTAAAAGCAACGAGTGAAAAATTAACCCATACGAATAGCTTGACAGTCTCAGTACAATCATACTGCAGTTAGGCTGGACGCTGTCTACGAAGGAACAATACTTATGATATCAACCAAAAGACAGTAAATTTCGGTACCGAAGGTTACATGTGGTCCAGCGCATTGTGCATAAATTACACATGATATTAGTTGTCAAGAATTTATGCAATACGACTGATCGTCCCAGACTAAACTTCGGAAGGTACAGAATAATACTGACAAGCTTACAGAGAGCTCCAAAGGAATAGAAATAACAGTAAGAAATGAATATTCGGGTTATCCGAGGCACACGCTGTTTTGGTTAAGGACGAGGGTGTCATGTTGCGCTAATGTTCGAAGTAGCAGAACAGCAATATCAGTAATGAAATCTCACCACTTCCACTGTAGTCTGCGGGCTGTGGTGGCGCTGTGGCTCTAGTCAGCATTCCTTGCTGAAGTGTTCGTCTAAATTAAGCGTGTCAACCTGAACGTTTGAAGTGAGATACGAGTAGATGGAGAAGTTCGATTTAGTAAGCGAGAAGTCAGGGCAAATCCTCCGGTGGATGTAACTCACCTGAATGGTGAGTCGAAAATGTAACCCGAGATGAAGTTTTTCGCTGAGAAGATGATTTCACGCTTCCTTGTTCTGTCACCAAATTGTAGGCCCCTCCTTAGATCACATACAAAAAGAACTAACCTTTTTGTAGTACAGCGGTCGCGTACATCGACGTGATACTAAAATAAATCATTCCCCTATGAGATTTTTCCATCCTTGAAACTGGTGACATGTCAAGGAGAACCCATCTTTTGTGGCGTGCCAGCAATCTGCCGCTGAACACCCCCATGATTTCCAAACACTACATCTGTGGTCAAATTTTGACGGCTGCGCCATTAGATTATTCTTTCGAACTACCTTACCGTTGTGGATTATCTCATCAGGCGAAGTTCGGTAACATAGAGCTGCCAATGAAAAACAGGAGTGATGTGGAGTGCGGGTAACGCAGTCAAAATACTTCCAAAATACCATGCGCGTTCCGATTGAGCCGACGAATGGTGTTGCAGATAAACGCCGAAGGGGCTTTACTGGCCCGAGTAAACATTAAGGACAATGATGGCTTCATTTTTTAGCATCGCTCGATCTCTGGAGTCATTTGAAACCGTTTGTAAACGTTTTTCTTACACAAATGCTCACGGAATAACAGTAAAGACAAATGGCTGTAAACCGACAGAAACCCCACACATGGCCTCTTCTTCAACATGTTTGACCGCTTCTCAAACATGCGACCTTGACAGGTAAGAAAAACAGGACAGGACAATGAAAAGCACGGAGGCAGCCTTAAGTTCGTCCCCAGTTACTCTCCTGTGTTTCTGGAAAGCAGGGACTGAAGCATTTCAAACGCTTCCTTAGGAGATTCACTTTTCGAGAATGCACTCCTGGGAGAACCCATTGTACACTCAAGTTGCCGACCAGGTTGACTGATAACAAGCACAGCACAAGCATGCGAGCTATCTTCGTGTGCACAACATGCCTCGCAGATCGGGGCGATTTTTCATCAGGCTCCTCGGGTATTGCTATTGATTCACGCAAAGCAAATACTAGATATCAATGAAAAAAATACCCGCGCAACACGATCAAGTCGTATAATAGAGAAGGACCAAGAGTAATCTCACCTTAAAGCTTAGTCCATCGCAAATGGACCTCCCGATAAGCATGTCAGACTTCTTACCGTCCTTGGACATGTAAGCAAACTTGACATCACGGAATTCGATTGAAGCGTTGGATTTGTCAATAATCAGATTGGGTGCACCCGGAGGAGACTGTAATTTAAGAAAAAAAAGTAAGAAGACACTGAATGGAAGGAAATAGGATCTTATTGTAATGGACAACAGTGAATGAATAGTCACCCCGAAATATTGTGCCGACCTAACAGTCGAACCGAATTTATGGGGCTTCCTCGAGTTTATGCTGGTGATCGGTTCAGAATGACATCAAAATTCATTTTGCTCTGGAGCTCTGACCTGAGAAGTTCCAAGTGATGTAGAAAATGGCATAGGACTGACATCTAAGTGGTATCAGTAGAAACTGACCCATGCGGACTATGCACATAATTATTTGGGTTACATGATGCTCAGGAAGAGTCATCAGGGTATTCAGAATACAATCGAAAGCTTATCACAACCACCAGCACGAAATGGAATGTGCTGAATCGCAAATGCACGGTTGATTGACTGGTTTCCTTGAGTGAAACTCAACGTAAAAGTCGATAGGATGGATCACATGACGTTAGAGGAAATAACATGCAGTCACAGACTCTAAGGTCGAACATGGCTTTTCCCATCAAATCATTCGGTAAAGTAAGTAGCGCGATAGTAGTCGGTCCATCATTTCGCTTTTGGTGAAACCGCCCTGAGGACAACAACAGCAGATTGTTAAAAATCAGTGATAAAAACTTGGCTGTTCACAAGTGGCTTGTGTCCTCAAACAAAATAACCATACCGGTGGAGCTTACAAATTCAATATTAACTCCTGTGGTAGATGTTTGACGGCTTCACCAAGACACTAGCGGTACCATATCATCTAGCGATCCACCTGGAGTTAGAATGATGATGAATTTACATCTCATCAAGGGTTGTAAAAAAGTTCAAGTTTTCAATGACTATCCGAGGTCTCACAACAGATGCAACTGTCATCGCAAGGATAACCAAGAGCTAATCGATATAATTTCAGCTGATATGTTCATACAGTAACGTGGGCACATACAAGCGAACCTACTCGAACAGAACCGTAGTAGTAAGGTGCTCACCTTGATCTTAGGCTCCAATTCCATAAGGAGGAACATGGTGGACATATCGACCAGCGACTGTCGAACCTCACGATACATCGTGCCCAAAAAGTTCAATGGAACCGATAGCTGGAACAGTAGGCCGTTTACAAGAACCAAGTCGCCGACGGTGAACGCCTGCGCTGTACGCTCTGCAGCAGTACCAGAAACAAGGTCGCCTACCACCGCGGCAGTTGCAACGCCACTGATGGGATCTAGTGCGATTTGACTGGCGACCGCAATCATGGTGGCGGCCAAACCAGCGGAAAAAATTGCTGCTTGGCCAAAGTTTAAAACTGCCAGACTTGTGGTTGTCTTGACGCTCGCATCTGCATACTCCTTCTGCAGGCGGTCGTAAATGCCAGCTTCGTGCTCTTCGTTATTGAAGTACTACATTTGGATATAAAGAGAGTGGTGAGAGATACCGACGGTCTGCGTTCTTTGAGAAACCGAATGAACTAAATAAAACAAGAAGATATGCTGAGGAGAAATGACGAAGCGTTTGCCTCAAAATGTATGCCTTGTTAAATTAAGACTGACAGGTTTGTCTCAATATGGGGTTCTAATCCCACCAGGGAAAAGCTGTTGAGATTAAGATACCGAATTGCTTCTGTATAGACAGAAGTCAGACATATCGTTATTTGCTATGGGATATCCTAATTTCGATATCTGACCATAAAAATCATCAGCCATACGGAGGATGGAATGACACTGGACAAACGTCAATGGTACTCCCCGTTCTCTTTCAACGGATAGAACCAGAACTCTTCCGAAAAGTATATTCTTCAGCCACAATGTATAGCAAACCTGAATCATACGCAAAGCACCGAAGAAATGAGGCAAGAGAACAGCGGCACAGAAGCATTGGAATGGTGTCGAAGTTGAGGGGTGTGGCGAGGATCCAAGTCTTTAAGTAGCTAAATGCTTATTGGCTAGGCCACCCAGGTTCAAGTATTCATTGTGTCTGGCCATGAGTAGACCTAAAACTCATTTTGATATCCTCATCCTGTCATGCTGGCGCCAATACCGTTAGCATTGATTAGTAAAACAACCTTCGTGAAAAGGGACGAAGTTATGTAATGACGCCGACTAAATGGATCTTGTGTAAATGGATTCTGTTTAAAATGTTCCCCAGTAAACACCTTCCCGTTTTCTTGACTTCCATATGTGACGCACGGGAACCGGGCCTATTCTCTTATCAGGGTCAACCATAATACAGCAAACTAAAACACCACCAGAATCGGCGATGCTGCATAAGAACAGTATCGCATCCGACTGACACTGGAAAACCAACAAGATATCAAGCCTGTTTTCACAGAAGAAAAGCAACACTGCGAAATTATCTGATCCCAGTAATGAGCAGCTATGAAAAGTCAACTCACGATCATCGAAAAAGGAGTGGGAGCTCTAGGAAAACTGAGTACGTTGAGAATGCAATTTTCGAAGTTTGCGCACACATGCTGTCAAGTTATAGTCCAGCTTGTTTGAATTGTGGATTTGTACGTTTGGGCGCTTCGAATGCTCATCTGCAACCTAGCAAGAGGATCGTCACTCACCTATTGTCTCCATCTCATCAATAGTCATCAACATCGACTGCGCATCAGCGCTCAACAGCGATCCTTCGTTGTCGTACAAAATAACGTATCTGAAAGCTTTCTTATAAAGAAAAGAACAAAAGAGGATGGGGAAGGGACCTATGTCTGACCTAACACAATCATTCCGAGATGGTTACACTTCCGAGCACCCACTCAGATACCTCGGAAAAAATGACAACAGAAAGGTCACTGATGTACATTAACAGTCAGATC